GAGGGTATCAAATAGGTAAAATGTTAGTCTTGCTGTTGACTTTAAGAACCAATAAAGCACTGCTTCTTTTCATTCGGCATTCCAGCTGCATATCTGATGTAGACAGACAAGTCTTAGTCCAATACATCCGAAGAATGAGACAGTGGTGCCATATTACATTATTTTAGTCTCTTTTTTCACTAAAAATGCAGCTCCTTTAAACTGAACACTTAAGACACACTTAAGAACACCGACTCCTTAATTGCAACAGATTCTTTTGCAAATGATATAAATATTCATTAGGCATGTTACAAAAAGCCAAAGAAAACATTTCATGGAATTTATGTGAAAATAAGACAAACATCTGAATATTCTAGTTCCACCCTTTAATGTTGATAACAAGTCGAGAGACATGGTAAAGTGTAGCACCTGTTACTGAGTTAATTACAAATACTACTTCCCAATCTGCCTATTCCATGTCTGTTTTTGGAGGAGCGTGATGGGAACCAGTTGCTTTACTGTAATTCACAGCATCTTGGTAATATCTCAGAGTCTTGGTAATATCTCAGAGTCTTGGTAATATCTCAGAGTCTTGGTAATATCTCAGTATCTCGGTAATATCTCAGTATTATCTTACAATTTTACATTTCAGCACTGTCTTATCACTATTGCTGCCACCCATTTTTAGTTTCAAGAATATCAAGCAATATTTCATCACTATCTCACTATAACTACATTTCAGCAATATCTTAGCAACACTGAGGATTTATCCAGTACCATTGTGACCACCAAATACCCATCTATTTTCCCATCATTACGTCAAGGATTGGTTACTGGGGTGGTCTTGTAAGTGAGTTTTTATGGTTTTATGCATTTTACCTGTATTCCAGCTACATCACAGGATGTTGGTTCAACCAAGGGGAAAGACCATATTGATGCAGTTGTTACAGTGAGTGAGTGAGTGAGTATGGTTTGACTCTGCTTTTAGCAATATTCCAGCAACATCATGGTAGAAATGGGCTTCACACATTGTACCCATGTGGGGAATCGAACCCAGGCCTTCAAGGCTACCCCACCACCCCTCAGGCCTTAGAGTTGAACTTGGATTCAAACCCAATATCATAGGTTCCTGGTTTACCTAGGGGAAGCAACCCTGCACAACAAATTGCAGAACTGAGGCAAATCAGTCAACTGTGAGCTCTCACAGGATCTGGGCCGGGTTGATGTCAAGAGATAATATGGTTTACCTCATGGATGAGTGAGTGAGTGAGTTTAGTTTTACGCCACACTCAGCAATATTCCAGCACTATGGCGGCGGTCTGTAAATAATCTAGTCTGGACCAGATAATCCAGTGATCAACAACATGAGCATCAATCTACGCAATTGGGATATGATGGCATGTGTCAACCAAGTCAGCAAGCCTGACCACCCGATCCTGTTAGTCACCTCTTACGACACGCATGGGTTACAGAAGATAATTTTAACCCGGATCTTCACAGGTACCGGGTAACCTCATGGATAAAGACACATGTCTACATTAACACTGATATCATGTTCTGACTTGATTAAAATACAATAATATTCTCACAATATTCCTTCAGTACCATGAACAGGACCTTTGAAACCTTGATCATCAAGCCCCTATATCAAGCTAAACTTTGAAATATAATACTACACTCCTGGAAACTGTTTCACTTATACCAGTATCAGTTGAGTGGAAAACACCATCAGTATTATTGGCTATTCCTTATCAGTTCTGTGGCAAATAGCATCAATATGATCTTCTATTCCTTCAAGCCTTCGCAGGGTGTGCTATTTTGATTTCAAGATATATGCCACTTGTATTTTCACACGAACATTTATTCTATCTAAATATTTACCAGATACATTGAGTATGAGACAGATGAGTGAAATATGGAATCATATTTCGACAACAATTTTCAAAAGATTTATTCTATTGATGTGAGTGGTTGCTGATGATTGCTATCAAAGGAAACACACCCAAGCTTTTGATAGGCAATCACGGTTAAGATTCTGTTTATTTTACTAAAGTAAGCCCCCAACCTATTTTTACATATGTTTATGATACCATTGGTGCCAAAGGCAAATAGGAGCTGAAAAGAAGGACATAGTATTGGTTAAATATACGTTCTAATTGACAAAACAAACATTCATTGGAGGTGGCTTGCCAAATATTTCTTTTCCTGGATACTATATTTAACACAAACTTCATGATGTTAAAGCTTAACATGCCTGCATGTTTCAGATTCTTCACTGAACTAATTTCCATCATCCATAGCATAGTGGTCGGTCTCTCAGACCATAAAGAGTAAATAAAATGGAGTCAAAACTCAAATCTAGAATGAGTATAGCCTAGCAAGTATAGGCTGCTAAAACTTCATGTTTTATATTTTGAATATATGTTTGTAAATAATTTAACTTTATTTCTGGGACTAAATTTCTGTGTAACGGTATAGTTAATTCTAAACTGAACCAATATTTCTTTATTATTTGGCTCAGCTGGACAAACTATTTGTCCATGTATCCATGGATGACACAATTGCCAACAAGAGTACAGCATCCCTAAGACTCCTAAAACTCAAAAGTAGCCCCTTGCTGCACAAGCACAGGGGTTAAAAAAACCTTTTAAAAGCCACTTGCCACAGGGCAAGTGACTTTAAGAAAGTAACTTGTCCTGGATATTTTTCCACTTGCCCTGATTTTTATGACATAATCATGATGATGTAATTATGAAAGAATAAATCAAAATGGTATTTGATGTTAATATTCACTGGACTATTTATAGAGAAGTGATAAATGGCAAAGAAGTATAACTCTACATAATTATCATTGCAAAATTTAATAGCTACATTTTGAGCAGATATGAAATGAAATCCAAGTTTATTTGCAGTTTGAAACCGTAAGCAGAGATTATCTAGTAGCCCACGGACAAGTAAGATACCAGTATTTGATTGCCCGAAATGAAAACTGACTTGTCCCGGGTGTCGGGCAATGGGATTTTTGAACCCCTGAAGCAGCCTACAGGAACAGGAACAGGAACAAGGAGTCAGTTGATTTCAAATGACATTAAGCAGTTCAGTCACACAACTCTGATAACTTCACTAAAACTCTGACTATAACTCCTCTACACTCCCCGGTCATCATATTCATCTGGGTTCCATGCATGCTCCTTGTTAACATCAGAATACAACAGATCTCACATTTGTCAGTCTTTCAACTCGGCTAATGAATGAGAGAGAGAGGAAATGAGTTCAACAGTGTATTTCTGTGACAGCATGGTTTGCCTCATAGATGAGCCTGCCCAATATTTCATAAAATGCTTAAAACATTTAGTGTCCTTAACTAAACCAATTGTTACATTTTCATCCATATTTTTGAAAATTCTATGACATGAAGCATTATGTTTTTTAGATTTTATTTTTTAAACCAATTTTTCAAGTCTTCTGTACAAACCTTGATGAATGTAATTCATTTGTCAGTGATCAAATGTTTGGTGGGATCAAATACATGTAAATGAATAAAAGTAAAAAGCAGGGGTTGTAGAACACCCATAACAGAACCTTGCTGCACCACCAACATAACATTGTTCAGACAGGGACATTAAAGGGCAGGTGAAGTAAGGGGACTGTTAAGAGTGAATCACAACTTTCAATAACTGAAATTAAGAATGAAACAATCAGCTCTACACATTGGTCATCATAAATCTCTTGGTTCCCGTACAAAGCATTACACATGAGACAAGAACATAAATAACATACAAAATAATAAGATATACATTTTCAACAACAAAAGCTTTTAAAACAATTACCTGAGTTGAAAAACAATAACAATAGCATATATTCTATTGTTCACAACCAGATTAAGCATAGAAATCACACATGAGGCTTAACAAGGAACAACCGAAACCTCACCTGCTAACAATACAATCAATGTGTACAATGTTATAATGCTTTCATACTGATCTAAGTGAAACTATAACATATATTTTGATCAATTTGAACATGAGTCATCTCAACTAATTTAAAAGTTTGAAATTTTACTTAATATTTATAATTCATATTTTCAATACCTATTTAAGAAACACAATTGAATTTTGTGTCCAGGCCAGACCAATTATATTTCTTGTTTAAAGGATTTGTTTCAAGAATACGGAAAAAAAATATATATTTTTGGTGTTATGTCATAAGGTCAACATCTTGACTGGCCTCAACATTGCTGTTGCATTAAAAAGCAGTGTGCATTGTGCACAATAAAATACCAAATTTGATGCAACTTTATAAGTTTTGCTTTAGTATGCATCTATGAAATGTTATTTTTCTGTTGAAGTATCTGCCATAGCACCACATGTGGTGTATGCCACTTCTTTTTTACATTTATAAAAATATATATTTCATGTTTATTTATATCTGTATACATTATATTAGGGCTTCTACTGACTCTCTTCAGTAAATGTTTAAGACAGTGAATTATATCATATTTTTTTCTGAAACTTGTATGACATATCATGAGTCCATCTTTTCAATGAATACATTAAAGCAAAGTCAGCAATACTACAGATGATGCTAAACATCACCTAAATATATATCAATAATATTGCTGAATAGGTCTCCTAAGTTGTAAGAATTATTGGAAATAATTAATAGGTACTGATAGATCATAAATATAGCACAGAAGCTGTTAGAGATTGCTGTGTTTAACAATTGCATAGAGAATCAATGACTGAACGAAACATGTTGTGAACAGAATCTAATGGTCAGACAAATATGTTCTGCGACTGTTTGAAATTTCACAAAGATGAACACATTCATTGAAAGCCTTACGAAGAGATTTATAACAGAACATAACCTCAAAATGTTGTAGTCTATCTCAAGATAGAAGAGTCTCGTATGACTAAGGCAATATTTTATGTGCGGCGATTATAGCGACGCCGAAGCAGACGAAGCCGTCTGTTGTACGCCATTCTGTTTCTTTGAATTCTGTGATAAGCATGATATCTTACCGAGGACCACGGCTCAGTTCGCCATTGATTGGAGGAACTGTTGCACTCCCCAGAACACAGACGAGCATCAGTTGGTCGCGTAAATACGTCACAGTTGGAGTCTGCCAGAATCTGACCGTTGGGCAGCTGGCACCGAACGGCTCGGCTCTGTTGACCTTCTAATCCACACGGTGAAGAACACTGTCGGAAGATAGGGTAACCGGTAAAAGACATGGGAGATGGAAGCATCGTGAGATGTGGATGTTTGTCTATGAAAATGGACTAACAATAAAAAGATAAAAAAATCTGAAATATTGTCGATGGGGAAAATTATTAATGATTCTCGATATGAAAAAAGAGTCATCAATAAAATCATACACAAACATTGTGATGAAATTCGGTTATAATTTAGTCACACAATAAACAATGATAGATCTTTATTCACAGGCTCTATGCATAAACATGTCACCACACACCAGTGATGTGAAATGTGTTGATTTCTTTCAGACTTATTTGTCATTTTTGCTCAAAGTTACTTTCCAGATATTCATTGAAAATCAATCAATATTTAGTTAACAATTATAGATCTCTATTATCTATATCAATAGCCAGCCCTTATAAAAACTATGCGAGTTTAGGCTTAAAGATTGTATTTTCAAAAACATTGGGACTGTAGTCCAAGTCATAAATTTGTAAAACAAGACTTTTTACAAGTGGTGAGTAAATATATATACCAGTCTGTAAAATTAAAAAATAAATTACATGGCCCTTTTAACAACTGCTTAAGAAAAGCATTCCAGAGTTACTGTGCCAACCATTTAAAATCAATAACATTTATTACACATGCTTTCATTTATGCCATTCATAGTATGCTGCTGACTGTTGAGACAAGGGCTGAGAAAACACATCAAGGGAGATAATCGATTAATAAACTGTATAAAGGGAGACAATTCTTTGAAACGTGCTGTTCAAGATTTTAACTTTGCCCTAAGTTCTACTACTGTTGCTGATCCTCCTCCTTCTCTTACATACAGGATTTATTTATAGATTGCCAAGAGAAAGCATGGCATTAATTTTCACAAATCTACATTGTCTGGTGGCATTTTGAGCACCTACAGGCAAGGAATCTTGTACAATGTATGCACATGTATACTGACTGACCTCTGCCCACTGTCCTTGGTTCCAGCTTGGACATGGTCCACTGTTGCAGATCTTCCTCTCGTCTGGCTTGACTCTCTCATCGCAGCTATCGCTGGGTCCGTTCTCATCCTGACACACCACCAGCCGACCCTGGTGACCCTCGTTACATGTCGTTGAGCACTGGAATAACAATATGGCACTCAGTAACCTGATCTCCGAAAATAGAATCGGCTTGTTGCAATAAGAAAATTATATTCTTTAAAAAATTCCTTGTCAAATATCTTACATCTGGTTACTTGGTTAACATTAGGATATTTGAGATCAACATCTTTGTATACCTTAACACTACCTAAATTACGTTTAAAAGCTTTGTGTTTGTGGTGTACAGAATCTGCCCTAGGGATCATTTAAGGTTAATCTAGGCCATGTACCACAGTCAACTTTGATCATACTTTGATCAAGTTGGTATCGTCATATATTGTTGACATGTTTCAACAAGACACTGGTCACATGGGTTTGATTGATGAGTTTGATCACATGATTCTGATGACAGTGTTTTGATCATATGACTTGGATTCCATGAGTGAATGGACATTGATCACATGGGTTTGATCACATGCAAATAATCACATGATTTTGATGACAGAGTTTTGATCATATGACTTGAATTACATGATATGACATTGATCACACGTCTTTGATCGCATAGGTTTGAGATGACCTTGATCACACATTTGATGCATCACGTACCGGTCCCCATGGCCCGACTCTCCAGTGACTAGTCTTCTCCACCGTGTTGCTGGTGATGACTGCGATGTCTAACTCTTCGATGGAGTGACAGTCGCCCATGTTGCAGTTCTTCTTGGCATCAGGCTTCGAATCAGCGTCACACATGTAGTCAGCCATGTGCTTCTGGTTGGAGGTTTCGTTGTCGAGGACGATGCATGCGACATAGCGGGTCTGGGAGCCAGTGCCGCATGTCACAGGACACTGGAGGGGAAGGAGGGAACAGCTTGATCATAATGCTTACATGAGCCAATCCTTTCATAACACAACTGAAATACATTTCATAGATATGATGAAGACTTCATTATGCAATGAAGTTGCGAGCAAGCACATGAGTCACATACATTTCATAACTGCACAATCCTCTTAAATCAAGTTATATTCTTCAATAAAGCAATACAATCATTGCGAGCGAGTGAGTATGGTTTTACGCCGCTTTTAGCAATATTCCAGCAATATCACCTCAGGGGACCCCAGAAATGGGCTTCACACATTGTACCCATGGGTATCCATGGAATCGAACATGGGTCTTCAGCGTGAGGAGTGGACGCTTTAACCATTAGGCCACCCACCACCCCACAAGCCTTATGAACTCACACAAGTGACTTATGACAGTCTTAGCACTAAGTGTTTGCCACTGATATGGCAATGTCCCCCGCCGCTAAAGAATGGAATATCTATATTTACTACTTTTTATTTTTTGGTCACATACAAAATGCCTGAAATGACTGGCAACTGCATAATCCCCAATGTATGCTGTCACCAAATTTGAAGACATTGGGTACAACAGTCCATGAGATATCACGTTAACAAGAGTTTGAAAAGTGTTCAAAGTGTCATGGTGACCTTGAAGATAAGGTAAAGGTCACCCAAATCGACTGGTGTCTGGGTAATCCCCCAATGTAGGCTGTCACCAAATTTGAAGACATTGCGTACAACAGTTCATGAGATATCGCGTTAACAAGAGTTCGAAAAGTGGTCAAAGTGTCATGGTGACCTTGAAAATAAGGTCAAGGTCGCCGCTGAATACATAGTGACAAAAACAACCTTCACCTTCAATATGACCTCCACCTTTTACATGCCCTTCAACATCAGGTGGTTCTACCCTACCATTTGACAGTTAATAGTTCAGTTCAATAGTTCATTAGAGCTGTAAATACAGACTGTAAATACATACATGACTGAAACCGCCTGTCCTTATTAACAAGTGTTGACTGTACAGAGGGATGAAGATACTCACAGTGCTCCACTCGCCCTTCCTCCAGATACCGCAAGCCTTGTTGTTGCAGTCCTGCTTGCTGGCGGGGCGGTGGTGCGGGTTGCACATGGTGTTGTCCATGATGTGGCCGCGGTTGTTCATGCAGCTGACATAGCGATGCTGCACTCCAGGACCACATGTTGTGGAACACTGTAATAAAAACACATGTCAATACGAAAAATCAAACTTTGAATATTCTTGACAGTAACCTAGTTCTGTTTCAAATTGTGATAAACTTGAAATAGTTTCCATTGCCCCAAGAAACCAAGCTAATGAAATTTCACTGTATTGTTTTCCTTTTTCAGAAAATATAATTGAGTTCGGGTTTGAATCCAAACCAACATATAACATTTTTGGGGGGCGTGCTGGTTTTCCTGGAAGCAAATGTGTTGTTTAAAACATTTTCACCTCTATTTTGCAAAACAAATTGCATAATTTAAAGCAATTATCCCTAATAATGACCCCCCTAAAACTGGAAGATCAAAGTGTCAGCCCTAAAACAGGGACATTTATTTTTATGTATTTTTCAGATGCCGAGTCACTCACCTCTGTCCAGATACCGAACCTCCAGTGGGAGTTGAGAAGGTAGGAGGGCGTAGTTGGTGTGGTGGGTGGGGACAGGGTGGGGCAGGGCCCGATGTAACACTGGCTCTTGTCTCGAGGTCGCTTGCTGGCATCACACACAGCATCCTCTACAATGTTGCCGGTGAAGGTCCGGCAGATGACTGTCCTCATCTTCTCCCCAACCCCGCATGTGACCGAACACTGAAATAATAATCATCATCATAATCACAGTGTTCATCTTGTATGAGTGAAAGATGTTTGATTCTACTATTGAAATGAAAATTGTCCACAGATCCTTTGAAACTACAAAAATTGCAAAGAGCGAGGAAAAAAATCAGGAAGATACAGATTTCTTAGTCAGCATTGTGCAAAATCATACGCTCACCTCCCCAACAGTGTAAGATTACAAAACTTACCAACAACATTGTCTATCATCTATCAAAGGTCATGCATGAAAGGGAGGTAACTTTCATTCCTAAGCTCAACATCAATATCTTCAAGACCTGAGAGCCTAAAACCTGAAGTGATACAGACTTGGGTTGCTTATTTCGAAATCCAAAGTAAGGTATGCTGATAAACCAGGAACTGTCATTAGGGAGAGCCTTGGATTCAAACTCAGGATCCAGCAGATTCAAGGGACATAACTCTACACACTAAATTCTGGCACCTTGAATGACTAGGACCTGATGCATGAATATTTTGGCAACACAACAAAATAACTTTTGGACACACGCGCACGCAAGACCACACCGCCACGCTACGCGATAAATAAATGCGCATGCACACACACACACACCAAGATAACTTTTGGACACACACACACACAAACTAAATAATTAAATAAATAAACTTCTCTTCTTCTTTGTCTTTTGTTTTACCAACCAGTCTCTAAAAACATAAATCCATGAAGCAGGAAATATAATGGTTCTTGGTCTAAAAGGGATGACAATGCATTTGACGTACCGGTCCCCAGCCGCCAGCGTACCACTCTGGACACGCCTCGAGGAGACATTCCTTCTTGGACTCGGGTCTATTTTTCTTGTCACACAGGTGCTCCTCCACCTTATCTTCACCACGCCCACACCATACATCACGGTGCCGCTTGCCACTCCCACAGCTCACAGAACACTGTCCAAACATAACAGATTATCATATTAGAACGCTTCAAGAACATCATGGACTATCATCATAGAACATTGGCATAAGATAACCTCCGTATCATCATAGAACATTGGCATAAGATAACCTCCATATCATCATAGAACATTGGCATAAGATAACCTTTGTATCATCATAGAACATTGGCATCAGATAACCTCCATATCATCATAGAACATTGGCATAAGATAACCTCCGTATCATCATAGAAGATTGGCATAAGATAACCTCCATATCATCACAGAACAATGGCATAAGATAACCTCCGTATCATCATTGAACATTGGCATAAGATAACCTCCGTATCATCATAGAACATTGGCATAATATAACCTTTGTATCATCATAGAACATTGGCATAAGATAACTTCCATATCATCATAGAACATTAGCATAAGATAACCTCTGTATCATCATAGAAGTTTGGCATAAGATAACCTCCGTATCATCATAGAACATTGGCATAAGATAACCTCCTTATCATCATAGAACATTGGCATGAGATAACCTCCGTATCATCATAGAACATTGGCATAAGATAACCTCCGTATCATCATAGAACATTGGCATAAGATAACCTCCGTATCATCATAGAACACTGATGGGACATTGTCATAATTGTCATAAGCAGGGTTCAGGAATTTACTATCCAAGCCTTTCTGTACACCCCCAGTTATCTGTCTAAGGGTACACAACAGCATTCACCACCATGAATATCTGGATTTGTGAATCATGAAAATAGATTCCTTCATTGTTAATTATATAAAACAGTCATGATTTTACCTGTCTAATATATCCTATAGACATATATATCCTTGATTACAGAACTTGCCGCCATCAAATTATTGTCAAGATCCTAAACTAAACATTTACAGGAAGCAACCAACAGTTTTAAGGTCAAAAACAGCAGTGGTAAAAATATTCAAATCAATGTTTTTCAAGGATCGAACCCAACCATCAGTTTTCAGCCCTCAATATACTTTTCAAGATCCCAGCTAACAGTTTTCAAAAGTCAAACTAACAGTTTCCTGGACTTAAACCAACAGTTGCCATGAAGCAACCAACAGTTTCCTGGACTGAAACCAACAGTTGCCATGAAGCAACCAACAGTTTCCTGGACTTAAACCAACAGTTGCCATGAAGCAACCAACAGTTTCCTGAAGTCATCACTTTCCTGGACCAGACCAACCAAACAGTCCTCAAAAGTCAACTAACAGTTTCCAGACCCTAACCAACAGGGTCCAGGAGTCAACCATTTCCAAACCTACAATTTCCAAGATTCAAAATTATCTAGAACTAAATCTGACAACCACGAGAGAGCACTCACCCCAGTCCAAGCTCCTGATCTCCACTGTGCACAGGGAACCTCATTACAGGACTGAACGAGGGGTTCCTTGTGCTTGTCCTCGCAGTGACGGTTGTCCACAACATGGGCATCCTCATTGACGCACTGCGCCTCCCGCGTCTGATTCCCACCACCGCACGTCTTGGTGCACTGAAAATAGAGATCCACAACATTGAATCACTGATTCTAAAGCTTTCAGAAAGTGACCAAATGTAATATATGTTATATTTGGGAGTACACTTTCTCGGTTAAATTTTAGTACTCTTTCTGGATTTGTGGACACAAAGTATGTGATCTTGTCCACCAGTTGTCAGACTGTGGAAGCTGAGTGGGTTAGATCACTGACTTTGTGAGCTGGCTCCTGGATGGGACTCAACCCCGACCCAATAAGTTCAAATTCAGGCCAAACATATGGAATTTGGGTATGGTAAAACTGTTTATACTATTTCAACTAAGGTCCATATTTCTGAGTGACAGATCATTAGCTATTGCTTGCAGTGATGATTTTGTGTTAAAAAATGAATGATCATATTCTATCCCTGCATCCATAATTGGATGTCTTAGATTGCCAGTTAACTCACCTTGGACCAGTAGGCATAGTTCCACATCGTAGCAGAACACTTCCCCTCACACATGATGTTTGTGTGGGGCTTGGCACCGAGATGGCGACAGTGACGGTCATCCACTGTGTGGCTGGCCTTGTTGGTCTCCTTGACACAGTGGACAGTCCTTGTCTTGATCCCCTTGCCACAGTGAACCGAGCACTCCGTCTCACGCATCACCTTCCATCTGAGGACAAATATCTAACATTGATCAGGACAGCAAACAATCTGGGAAGGAAGTATCTATTAAATTTGGGCAGTAAAAAATACAACCAATAAAAAAATCATTCGTATTTCCAGACCATTCTGACCTTGGGGAGAAAGAAAAATACAAGATTAGTCTTTTAAAAAAATAACTAAACTTTTTGAGCAATAAATAATATCATGCTGCTTACAGTAAACTAATCAACATCCTAGATTTTAATTGATTCAGCATATACTTACACTACTGCATTACAAGAATCAGTAATGTCTTTATGTTTATTTACTCAAGCTTAGTGGTAAGCAAAAGCTGAAAAATATCTTCACACAATAAAAAGAAGAAGTGCGATCTAGTGAGCTTGTAGCAGCAAAATGTAAGACCTACATGATCTCAAAACCTCAGAAATTATTGCCAAGAATTCACTGAATAAATAGGGCATGTAAATCCCTGGATTTACGTACCTCAGGTAGCAATCCGTGTTGCAGGAGTCGCGGAGACGAGGGGGTTTCGCCTTCCCCACACAGTGCTTGTTGGACACAATCAGGAAGTCATTTTCTCGGATACACACGATCTTCCGCTTACGGAGACCTGCAGAATCAGTTGTAGTACATATAGGTACAAGTAACAGAGTTTCCCAACTAAATCAGCTCAGGTGAAAGATTTGCAAAAGCATAGGCTGCTCCATTCTCTTCCTACAGAGGTTACTCCTGTCATATCTTCCTGCATAACCTCTGTTCTAATACGGCCCATTCATGGTGTGAGCGTTCAAGACTTGTGATTGGAGGCAATCAGATTTAGTTGTGCAATTAGCGACGTTGTTTCAAAAGTGATCATTCGCAAGGCCTCGGTAATTTCCGTATGCTGCGAAAACTAAACTTCTTCCCCTGCGCGATGCGCAAACGTTTCTTCTAGACAGAACTCAGTCATGTTATGGCGGATCAGTGGCGTCTCCATCGCCCTCGTTGACAACGGACAAGCTAGCCATTAAACGTCTTGTGTGTAGCATCAATACAAGTCCCCGGCAGATGGGGGATATTTGTGGCCCCACATTTGCTTGTGTTAGTCAAGTTGAATCTAAGTCGATGTAACATGTGTTCTGATTGGATAGAAAGAAGGGAGATAATTCGTGTTGCGATCTTTTGCCGCTAGGGGATTTTACGAGAACCGCGAAATATGGCCGTATTAGAACAGAGGTTCGTAGGAAGATATGACAAGTAACCTCTGTGGGAAGAGAATGAGGCTGCTCAAGAAATATTGCCAATCAAATGTAAACATTCATTAGTTTGTGCACTTATTGTTTTCCATTCATTAGAACCATCAATGGCATTTTCTTCAAAGAAGCAACTACAGCACAAAACGAACATATATCCATTCATCAACCTTCGAAGTACTGACAACAGCTTGTATGAATGAAAACAGTTTCTAAAATCCATGAAAATACAGTGTTCTCACTTTAACAAATCCTCAAATAAACCAAGTTTTTCACACTTGATTGACTATACCTCTATATCTGTCACAGTTATTTCATGTGATGTGTTCCGAAAAATGAAGTCAAATTCTCATTCACACTCAAACTTCGACAACTGAAATATACGTAAAGTTTTCAAGTTTTCCAAACTGAGTAGAACCGCTTCAGCTGAACCAGCTCCGACTCCGTACTGACCTTGACAAAGGTGACTACATCGCTTCCACATCCCCAAGTTGTCCCAGCGGAACTTGGTGTCCTTCGGCGCCGAGACGGTGTAGGTGTAGCGGACATCAGGGGGCAGGAGGGACCCCACAGACAGTACCTGGCATGAGCATATATTATCAGATAGGTACACATAGTCATGGTCTTTGTGTGTGAAATACGCATTATGTTGGAAACCACATGATATATCTCCAGATCATCATCAGTGTCATGGTACTAAGTGAAACTCGTTCAATTGTTGGGTTTGTGCAATAGGGGAGGTAACTCTGGTTTGATGGGATTCTGACACCAAGGATCCAGCACAACACAAATTGGCAACATCACAGTTATATATATCAGGAACATTGCAGAGATATCACAGGTATATCAGAGCTATATCGCAGCAACCTATTCCAAGTTTGGACCAGAAACACTCGTGGTCAGTGAGACACAGGATCACCCAGTCACAAAAAAGTTTTCAATACTCACAAGCCATTACTTTCACTTAAATAAGTTAATAAATCAATTCAAATTAAGAGAAACTGCAAAAGCAGTTAAAGCAAAAATAAATATAAAATACACTCTAAAATTGCAGATGATTAATTTGATTTAGAGATTCCAAAAAAGTAATAACCTAGAGTCAAATGGGTAGCCTAGTGGTTCAAGAGTCACCTATAAGACCTAGGTTTGATTTTCTAGATCGGTACAATATGAGAAGCCCATTTCTGGCATTCAGTGGCATAATATTGTCGGCACTCTGCTGAAAGCAGCACAAAACTTCACTCACTCTCTCAGTATGGCACACTTACCTCGACAGAGATATCCTCCCCGATCATACGAGTGGAGTTGATCCTCTCCACGGGGACGTTGACGCCACTGTATTCCAGGTAGCCGTTCTGTACCTTGATGCTCCACTTCTGTGTGCGGACAATATGATCGCCATTCAGAATGTATTCCCCTTTGCTGTTCCTCAGGGCTGCCAAAAAATAATACAAATAATCATTTTGAAGTTTAAATGAATATCATTGTTTTGAATAGTATTTTCCGAAGTTGATATTTGGCCCCAAGCCTACAGAAAAAAAACTTGTCGATTTCAAACATTAAAATCTGTCCTAAACATTGATACTTTGACTCTGATTAATATCAAATGTTGCTGGTGACGTTGCATCAACTGATCAACTATTCCGTCTAACAGTACTAGAACCTTATTTGTTTCCTCCAGTCCTTTCTGTAATCCAAAATCCCTAAATGAAGCCAGTCCAAATGTTCTACAGGTAATCTCCTATCTCTCTGGGGCTCCTTTTGAATTTAGTGTTTTGAATTTCTATAAAAGCTATATATTTTCAGATGAAGTGTTAGTCCACTGATCAACTCACAGAGGTAGTTCCAGTCGTTGCTCGTGTTCTGGTACCCATGTTGCAGGATCTCTATGTTGGTCGCCCCACTCGGCACCGTGATCACCTTGTTGTATCCTGCAATAAAACCATCATGGCGTCACACTGTCGTCGCTGTACTTGTTACAGACTAGGACTTCACGGACTATTCAGAATATACATTGTAACAAGTAACGCCTACCTCACTGTAGGCCACTGAAATAAACTTTTCAGGAAATATATCTTTTCCATAATATGGTAAAAGTCAGGATTAAATGCATTAATCTGTTGTTTCTAGTATCAGTGGATCATCATGGATTTCTCCATTATGAAAAATAACTGATTGAGATTATTGCTGGTATCAGATATTGATGAGATGCTTTCAAATCTTGATTGTGATCATCGCTGTTATCAGATAATCAATAGATGCCTTCATATCAGATTAATCAATCAGATAATCAATAGATGCCTTCATATCATGATTGCCATTATCATGATTATCAGATAATCATTAGATGCATTCATATCATGATTGCCATTGTCATGATTATCAGATAATCAATAGATGCATTCATAGCATGATTGCCATTATCATGATAATCAGATAATCATTAGATGCATTCATATCATGATTGCCATTATCATGATTATCAGATAATCATTAGATGCATTCATACCATGATTGCCATTATTATGATAATCAGATAGATGCATTCATATCATGATTGCCATTATTATGATTATCAGATAATCATTAGATGCATTCATAGCATGATTGCCATTATCATGATTATCAGATAATCATTAGATGCATTCATATCCTGTCATAGGATCATGAAGGCTGCTGAACTCAATGACAATTGGCATGTTAGCTACAAGAGTTACCTCCCTTACACCATGTCACATATCCTTACATTTGTAACGAAGACTGTAGGATGTGTATGACAGTCACACAATCACAGATATATGACGAGTTGGACAGCATGTAAACATGGCCCAGCATGGTGTTACAGTTGGCCACGAGAAGTAGTGAGTGAGTGAGTATTGTTTACGCCACTATTAGCAAGTTATTCCAGAAATATCACGGCAGGGGACACACACCAGAAATGGGCTTCACACATTGTACCCATGTGGGGAATCGAACCCAGGTCTTCGGCGTGACGAGAGGACGCTTTAACCATTAGGCTACCCTAACGCCCTCCAGGAGAAGTAACTGGTCAAGGGTTTAGCCAACTTGGGTCAACACAGGTCCCAACTAATACTATTCATAATTTATAGTGGTTATCATATAAGTTTGTTTTCAGAGGTCGAGAATCATGTTACCAAAGTTTGTTTTGGTGTTAAATTCTTAAATCAAATTGTCACAACTGTTCCTAAACAATATAAGTTTATTGGTATGTATGATTAATATAATTTGCACCAATATGGTGTTTAGTCAGTGGGACCGTGACAACATACCTCACCTACACTAAAAAATCTCTATTTTTTCCGCGATATGTTCAAGGTCATGACAGTGGGGAAGCTGAATGGTATGTGTCAAGTGCAATGAAGGCTAGTTCCTCCTACCATATTTGGCGTTGTTGAATCGTCCCCTTTCAGACTTGCAGGAGGAGTTGTCGCCGCCACAGACGCCGCACCGGTCTCGCTTCATGTTGGAACCAAGACGATTATCACAGCCAGCTCTCTGAAACAAAAGAAATATTCTCTGTCAACAGAGACATAGGTTGTGGCAAACTACAGTGGAGTTATTTCCCTTGAGTAAAGGGCCCCCTGGGTTTTATGATGTGATAACTAGCAAACTTATCTAAAACAGAAGAAATTTCTCCTCTTGACATAAAAGTAGAAGCAAATTTCAGTGGAGTTATTTCCCTTGAGTAAAGGCTCCCCTGGGTTTTACAATATTTTAACCAAAATCCCCATACAATACAAGCAAGCCGAGCTCACCCTGCACTTTCCATTAACACAGATATCATCTGTGTCAGGCCGACACTTGGTCCCGTCGATCACTGTCTCAGCCAACTGGTAGAACGAGGACGTGGACTCCGCTTGGCAGTACAGCTTACAAGAATCCTTCATCTGGACTAAAATAATTGTTGGAGTGTTAGGAATAATGGTAGGGGATTATTCTTATATTTGAGACAAATACTTGTCAATGGATGTCAGAAAGATGATCAAAACATTTTGCACTGAAGTGACTGTGAGGTCTGTTTATGGCTGTTCTTGTCATTAGAATTTCTTAAGAGTCTGCCATGAGGCTCTCTTCACCAACTCTCATCAACATCCATGGCTCTCTCTCTTGACGGACTCTCCACTCTCTTTCCTGACTCCCTCTCTTCTCTCCAGACTCTCTCCTGATTGACTCTATCTCTCCTCAACTCTGTATACTCTCCTGACTGACTGTCTATTCCCCTGCCCTCCTCCTTGTCTCTCTCATCTGACCCCTCTCTCTCTCTTCTCTCCAGACTTCCTCTACTCTCTCTTGACGGACTCTGTACTCTCTTTCCTGACTCCCTCTCTCTCTCCAGACTCCTCTACTCTCTTCTGACTGACTCTCCACTCACTTTCCTGACCCCCCCCTCTCTCTCTCTTCTCTCCAGACTCACTCTACTCTCTCCTGACTGGCTCTCCACTCACTTACCTGACTCTCTCTCCCTATTCTCTCTGACTCTCTTCTGACTCATTTTTTCTATTCTCTCCAGACTCTCTTTGCTCTCCCCTGATTGACTCTATCTCTCCTCAACTCTGTATACTCTCCTGACTGACTGTCTCGTCCCCTGCCCTCCTCCTTGTCTCTCTCATCTGACTCCCTCAGCTTAATCTCTCCCATACTCAAAATAAACTATTTGATTCATTAGAATAAATCCATTTTTCGAAAATCACCCCAAAAAGAGTGAGTTTGGTTTTACAATGGTTTTAGCAATATTCCAGCAATATCACGGTGAGGGACACCAGAAATGGGCTTCACACATTTTACCCATGTGGGGAATTGAACCCAGGCAAACGGTTTAACCACTAGGCCACCCAACCTCCCATCCCTCCAAAGAAGGGCAATAACTGCAACAGGGCTGAAGCTCACCTTGACAAGTAGTCATCCATTTAAGATGTCAACATAGAGAGCCACACTGAAATTGTTAGTCTCAGCAAACCCTGAAGACTAAAACTAACATATAATGAATACAATAAATTAGCTGTTTTACCTCCTGTGTATTTGGGCACCCATTTAACATTTGAAGGGAGGCCATCGATGTGATATCTGTTGCTGAAGTTGGCACACTGCTCCTCTCGGAAGTCAAGCTTACTGGATAGGCATATCTGAAAGCGAATTATTCAAGTATCTTGCTGAAGCATGCAATTATCCAATGACAGCATGAAAAACATATAACTTCTTTGAGTGGTATTTAAAAAGTCAGGAAATACAACAATAATAATAATAATACAGTGTATTTGTAGAACGCTAGAGGGGCGGTGGGGTAGTCTAGTGGTTAAAGCGTTGGCTCGTCACGCCGAAGACCCGGGTTCGATTCCCCACATGGGTACAATGTGTGAAGCCCATTTCTGGTGTCCCCCGCCGTGATGTTGCTGGAATATTGCTAAAAGTGGCGTAAAACCAAACTCACTCAGTCAGTCAGTGTAGAGCGCTAGACTCCATGCACTAGTGCATGCTCAAAGCACCACAAATTTGTTAATCTGATTATTATTTCCCCGGATAACCCAAGCTGCCTGTTCAGTGCTAGAAGGTTAAAAGTCTCATGACTTATTTCACCGGGTACCCATCTTCTGCTGGGTGAACAGAGGCAATTTTTGAACAAACTCACTTGCCTAGGGTGAGATCACATGTGTCACATGTGCTTCGTGGTGGGGCAGGACTGAAGTCCTAGAAACTCTCAGGAGGTAAGCTGTCAGACACGGTCACCAAACCAAGGACAGTCCGGGCCCGATGTTGCTTAACTTTAAGTGATTGTGACCTGAGCTCTATGCACAGGACCACGCGCCACCACAATACTGACAAGCCTTATGGATAACAACTTCTTTACTGACTGACTGACTGAGTTTGGTTTTATGCTGCTTTTAGCAATATTCCAGCAACATCACGGCGGGGGACACCAGAAATGGGTTTCACACATTGTACCCATGTGGGGATTCGAGCCCGGGTCTTCGGCGTGACGAGCCAACGCTTTAACCATTAGGTTACCCCACCGCCCCCACTTCTTTACTTGACAATGGTAGCGGAAGGTCGCGGGTTCGATCCCCGACCGCGCCTTACCAAAAGACGTTAAAATATGGTACTTGTTGGTCCCTGCCTGGTGCTTGGCATTAATGGGTACATCAAGGACTGGTCTGCTCGGAGTCAGTATAATGTGTCTGAGTGGGGTATTCATGCTCCACTGCAGCATGGTATCTCAGTGGGCTAGCACTATAAAACCAGCTTAAGTCTGGGCTAGTACAAGCAGCCGCACCTACACATACGCACGCATGCACGTCGTCATATGAGCGAAATATTCTCAAGTACGACGTTAAACCAATTTCACCTCACCTCACCTCACCTTGACAATGGTACAAGAATTACCATTGTCGCACTCACAAAATATAAGAAGTTGTCGTTCATAATGTTATCACTATTTAATAACATATATTTTCTCACATAATTTACAAAATAATTCCTGAAAACTGGAACTGAATTTTGCTTGTGAGTATTGTTTCATACTACAAAATTCAGAATCAGTGGTCTAAGATAACCAGATTTAATCATCCAAAAATGAAAATACTGACTTTGGTATTGCACGAACGGTACTTGATTCTTTTCCCCAGACAATATTTGCCGCCATTGTCGGGCCTGAAACATAAAAAGGTCAGCTTGACCTAGGTACAAGACAAAAGTTCGGCTAAAACCACTTGTACCCATAAATCTGATATTTTCACGAAGCTCCAGTCTGATTCAATAATTTGATCAAATGATACAATCTGTCTGAATCTTAACATGTGAGTGTTAATGGTTTTTTCATGAGATCTCAAGCTGCGTGTTTGTTCTCATGTTGAGAGTACGTCGACATAATTTTCCTTGCTGCCAAATCTGATCGTATGGGTGAACAGCCTCTAGAATGGCTCTACTCTTGATAACACAAGACCAGGATGCATAGAGAGCTTGAAGCGTATTTTATTTGAGGGTGAAAATTGTGTCAGTGATTTTATTGATTACATCTGTTCATTGAATTAGCTTTTGCTGATGGAGCATGTTAGATGAAACTTAATGTCAATAAATGTCATCCTGATTAACTCAATACATTTCAAGATGAGTGCAACATGCACCATAATTCCACTGTGACACATGAGTTATGTAATTGTAACAGTGACTTACTGGGGATTGTAGGCAAAAAATGGACTGTTACAAAATGTTGAAGATTGCCACTTTGTAACAGTTACTTACTGAGGATTGTAGGCTATAAAAAGACTGTTACAAAATGTTGAAGATTGCCACATTGTAATAGCGGGGTGTATATGGGGTGTAGTCTATAGACAAACTGTAAGAAATACTGATTGCCACATTGTCATTGTGACTTACAAGGATTAATGTTACAGTGACTTACAAGGGGTTGTTACAGTGACTTACAGGGGGTTGTTACAGTGACTTACATGGGGTTGTTACAGTGACTTACAGGGGGTTGCTACAATGACTTACATGGGGTTGTTACAGTGACTTACAGGGGGTTGCTACAATGACTTACAGGGGGTTGTTACAGTGACTTACAGGGGTTGTTACAGTGACTTACAGGGAGTTGCTACAATGACTTACAGGGGGTTGTTACAGTGACTTACAGGGGGTTGCTACAATGACTTACAGGGGGTTGTTACAATGACTTACAGGGGGTTGTTACAGTGACTTACAGGGGGTTGCTACAATGACTTACAGGGGGTTGCTACAATGACTTACAGGGGGTTGTTACAATGACTTACAGGGGGTTGCTACAATGATTTACAGGGGGTTGTTACAGTGACTTACAGGGGGTTGCTACAATGACTTACAGGGGGTTGTTACAGTGATTTACAGGGGGTTGTTACAGTGACTTACAGGGGGTTGTTACAGTGACTTACAGGGGGTTGCTACAATGACTTACATGGGGTTGATACAGTGACTTACAGGGGGTTGCTACAATGACTTACATGGGGTTGTTACAGTGACTTACATGGGGTTGTTACAGTGACTTACAGGGGGTTGCTACAATGACTTACAGGGGGTTGCTACAATGACTTACAGGGGGTTGTTACAATGACTTACATGGGGTTGTTACAGTGACTTACAGGGGGTTGCTACAATGACTTACAGGGGGTTGCTACAACGACTTACAGAGAATTACAAGGGGTTGCTACAATGACTTACAGGGGGTTGTTACAATGACTTACAGAGAATTACAGGGGGTTAGCTACAGTGACTTACAGGGAGTTGTTACAGTGACTTACTGGGGTTTACATTACAGTGACTTACAGGGGGTTAGCTACAGTGACTTACAGGGGGTTGCTACAACGACTTACAGAGAATTACAGGGGGTTGCTACAATGACTTACAGGGGGTTGTTACAATGACTTACAGGGGGTTGTTACAGTGACTTACAGGGGGTTGCTACAATGACTTACAGGGGGTTGCTACAATGACTTACAGGGGTTGTTACAATGACTTACAGGGGTTGCTACAATGATTTACAGGGGTTGTTACAGTGACTTACAGGGGTCGCTACAATGACTTACAGGGGTTGTTACAGTGATTTACAGGGGGTTGTTACAGTGACTTACAGGGGGTTGCTACAATGACTTACAGGGGGTTGTTACAGTGACTTACAGGGGGTTGCTACAATGACTTACAGGGGGTTGCTACAATGACTTACAGGGGGTTGTTACAGTGACTTACAGGGGGTTGCTACAATGACTTAAAGGGGGTTGCTACAACGACTTACATGGGGTTGTTACAGTGACTTACAGGGGGTTGCTACAATGACTTACAGGGGGTTGCTACAATGACTTACAGGGGGTTGTTACAGTGACTTACAGGGGGTTGTTACAATGACTTACATGGGGTTGTTACAGTGACTTACAGGGGGTTGCTACAATGACTTACAGGGGGTTGCTACAACGACTTACAGAGAATTACAAGGGGTTGCTACAATGACTTACAGGGGGGTGTTACAATGACTTACAGAGAATTACAGGGGGTTAGCTACAGTGACTTACAGGGAGTTGTTACAGTGACTTACTGGGGTTTACATTACAGTGACTTACAGGGGGTTAGCTACAGTGACTTACAGGGGGTTGCTACAACGACTTACAGAGAATTTACAGGGGGTTAGCTACAGTGACTTACAGGGAGTTATTACAGTGACTTACTGGGGTTTACATTACAGTGACTTACAGGGGGTTAGCTACAGTGACTTACAGGGGGTTGTTACATTGTCGGATGCTGGTCTTGATGCCTCCGCCACATGTGCGTGAACAAGGGCCGTAATCCTGCCACTTCCCCCAGCCTCCATTGCGCGCCTTGAGGGGGATCCGCAGAACACACTCCCCACTGCGGCACCAACAGCCCTGTGTCCGGCACAACTGCAACAGACATGACGCAGTGAAGACTTCGTGCCTCACATCTCAACTCAAACAAGTTGTAAATCTGGATGATCTTTAGGAGAGAAGACCTATTACCATGCATGTACCTTATCTTGATTAGCTACAAAAACTGTTTGCCTTGTATCTTTTAAATATTGTTTAACATGCATGACACACACTTTCTGTATAGGTAAGAAACATTTGGCAATACTCAAATTGTTTCATACCCATAAACCCTCTAAGCCTTTCATCTGTCCAACACAAACTACCACATTTCTAAAACATCAACCTTGATAAAAAAAAAAAACTGAAGAGAGAAAATCTTAACACAAAAATGTGCTGCATAGAAAGATGCCAATCTCAGTATGGTGTTCTTTGTGCTTTGTGAAGCGTAAGTTATCATACGCTATTAGTGTGACATTTTTTACAAATTTGAGTTTGCAGGTAAACAAAGTGATGAAAGACATGACTCAGACTTAATTCAATTAACCCATGCTTAGCGCCTGTGGTTTTTGCCTAGCATAATGTTGTTCCTTTGTTAGTTGAATTTCAACTAAACTGATGTCACAAGGAATGTGTGTCTCCATTATTCTGATGTTTTTAGGTCCCATGATGGTTTGAAATTCTTAGACATGCCTGATGACAATTAAAAGTTGAGACTACAAAATAGCAATATTTGTTTCCGTGACATGAATGTGAGGCTTGTGCGCCTATGTCATGAGTGATGGCTGCCACAGACATTTAAGTTTCCTGACAGCCAATATAGCAAGCTTGGGATGCATCATCACCACGACAACCTGACAACAGCTTCTCCCTCGACATCCTGACAACAGGTTCTTCTTGATAGCCTGACAACAAGTTCTGACTCGATAGCCTGATAACAAGTTCTGACTCAATAGACTGACAAACAGGTTCTTCTCAATAGCCTGACAACAAGTTTTTCTCAATAGCCTGACAACAAGTTTTTCTCAATAGCCTGACAACAGGTTCTTCTCTATAGGCTGACAACAGGTTCTGACTCAATAGCCTGACAACAGCTTATCCCTCGATATTCTGACAAACAGGTTCTTCTCTATAGCCTGACAACAGGTTCTTCTCTATAGGCTGACAACAGGTTCTGACTCGATAGCCTGACAACAGCTTATCCCTCGATATCCTGACAAACAGGTTTTTCTCTATAGCCTGACAACAGGTTCTTCTCTATAGCCTGACAACAGGTTCTGACTCAATAGCCTGACAACAGGTACTTTTCAATAGCCTGACAACAGGTTCTTCTCTATAGCCTGACAACAGGTACTTTTCAATAGCCTGACAACAGGTTCTTCTCAATAGCCTGACAACAGGTTCTGACTCAATAGCCTGACAACAGCTTATCCCTCGATATCCTTACAAACAGGTTTTTCTCGATAGCCTGACAACAGGTTCTGCCTGGATAGCCTGACAACAGGTTTTCTCAGCACAAATTAAATTCTACCACACAGATTTTTTTAAGATAAACGGAAAAGTCTACAGAAAACCTCGCACACACGGTATCTTTTAAATAACGTTCCAGCCACAGATATTTTGAAACGATGCAGCAAATATGTTGAAAAATATTTGTCAAAAATAATTCAGCCTCAAGAATATTTTCCCTCGAAGAAATAAACGTGTCATATTCTGCATAGTTGAATACGGTTTTGTCAGTTCCACAGAATCATCGAATTTGCAGGTCATAGCTGGACAGACAAATTTAGATAAAAAGAACTTTGAAAACCTGAAATAAAAATTGAAAAAATAATTCAAATTCAAAACCAGAGAATTCTACAGAAATTCTTGAGCACAGTCCAATAACAGCTAAAAAAGGATATAATCCCTGAATGTTTTAGAATTCCAGGAATTCTCTAAGCAGGAAAAACAAACATTTCCCAGAAAACTGAATAAAAACTCCAAAAGTGTTTAAAAATGTCGTCTGAAATAGTCATCCAATGTTTTGCCAAAATGTGTCATATTCTGCATAGTTCCACAGAATCATCAAATTTGCAGGTCATAGCTGGACAGACAAATTTAGATAAAAAAAACCTTTGAAAAACTGAAATAAAAATTGAAAAAAATAATTCAAATTCAAAACCAGAGACTTCTACAGAAATTCTTGAGCACAGTCCAATAACAGCTAAAAGGCATAACAGATTTATTGCTGCAAAGGTCAAAATCCTCCATCTATCATACAGAAACAATGTAAGCATGATACACCCCATTGTTGCGTTGTGACAAGCTGCTCTGTTTGTTTCTGCAGCCAGGGATGAGGCAGACAATACATACCTATCTTTACATAGCTGCTAGCATCAGTGATGCTGTCACTGATTAAGCTTATATATGTAGCATGAACACAGAACCCCAAAACATCAAAGCATCGACTGTCCCATCGTATCCATCTCACTCAATGAGTATATTATGTCAGTGCATATTTCTTGAAAATTACATGTCAAACACAATAGATAAAGCACTTTACATGAAGATAACTCGTAGGAAGGAATTGCATGACTGCCAGTGTTATCGTCTGCACACAACACAAATTAACTTATCTTGCTTCATCAAGGGCAACATGTCGACAGTGGATAATAGTATATCCTCCTCAAATATGACGGATGATAGAAATACATTTTTACGATTGCTAACTTTATGATTATACACAATCCAGCCAACACCTGTTGACACATCTATGTGAAGCAATATGATGTCATTTTCTTACCCTCTGAAAAAAGTTTGATGAAAGTGTAACCTGTATATAAGTCAACCCCCTTCTACAGACTGCTTTATTCCCCTCAAAATTCAGCTTATCTACAGTAATATACAGTAAATATGATCTTAACTGAATATCAATGATGAGTGAGTGAGTTTAGTTTCACGCCACACTCAGCAATATTCCAGCTATATGGCGGCGGTCTGTAAATAATCGAGTCTGGACCAGACAATCCAGTGATCAACAGCATGAGCATCGATCTGCACAATTGGGAACCGATGGCATGTGTTGACCAAGTCAGCGAGCCTGACCACCCGATCCAGTTAGTCGCCTCTTACGACAAGCATGGGTTGCTGAAGGTTCATTCTAACCCGGACCTTCACGGGTATCGAAGATGACCGATGGTCCGGTCATTAAACTTTTTCTAAAATAAGGAAAAAATATGTCTTGTGAATTCATAATTCATTCTTTACTAGACAAACAGAGAAATCACTCAAACTGTTAACAGTTCGAAGTTATTAAAATAATTTTTAATTTGGATAAAACCAGCATATAGACAAATAGCTAAACATGTTAATATTTCATAAAAACCTGAATAAGAGTAACTTTTTAAATATTGTTTGATTTGCATAAAATATTAATCTTTAAGAGAATATCAGTAACATGTCATAAAGATGGCATTTATAGATAATACTGCTTCTTAGAAAATTTGTTGTTTTTTGTCTATTATTCTCCACTGCACAGCTTGATGATGATGATGATGATGATGATTTGAGATTTTCAATACGCTTTCTGACCAAATGCGTTTTTCGCACACAGTTGCTATTGGCAGCGACCTATTTGCACTCCCTCCTACACCTCTGGAAACACATTAGTCCTCATTCTTACTAAGACCTTCTACATTCACGACCCTCTCCACCAAATGCAGCTGGAATATTGCTGACTTAAGCAATAAACAACAAACACAAACCTCTTATTTCAAGCATCATTAAACCAACCCTCAACCAGAGAATACCAGCTTTCCGATAACATCACATCGTCACTTTTCCCCAGTAAAGAGCATCCATAACTTTCCACATGCTTCCCTTGACGATATCGGTATTTATTTTATGTCTGTCTGCCTTCAGTCACCTCACAAAACACCGTACACATAAAGTGAAAACAGTTTTAAATCCGGATCCACCCAATCTCAATAAAATCAGATCTCAGTGTTCACTTTGTTTACATTAATATCTGAGGACATCTATTCAGGTCACATGAACGACCTTTCCTGAACTTTGACTGACCAATGAAATGAATAATGACATAAGCCAATCAGAAAGCAGCTTTCTCAACCTTTACAGCACTAAGTCCAAACTGGCAACTTCAATTCCACACCAGTTTTAAAAATATTTGAACAAACTTTAAAAACTGAAAGAAGATCTGGAACATCTATTAGATAGCCAATCTGCATGTTCTTTTATGCTAAATTAATAAAATCTAGTTTATCCTCCTGCATTGAAGATCTGGGTTAGAATTGATCTTCAGTAACCAATGCTTGTCATAAGAGGCGACTAACGGGATCGGGTGGTCAGGCTTGCTGACTTGGTTGACACAAGTGATTGTATCCCATCTTTGTAGGTCAATGCTCATGCTGTTGATCACTGGATTGTCTGGTCCAGACTCAATTATTTACAGACCACCACCATACAGCTGGAATATTGCTGAGTGTGGTGAAAAACTCAACTCACTCACTTACTCCTGCATATGGTAATGTAGCTCACCTGTCTAAACATAATTCTCAACTTCAAGTTTTAAACATATTCCAACTTGCTATATATCTTAAAACATTTGCAATGAAAACCATTATGAAAATGCTTTATGTAAAAAACATATGGAATGTGTGAAATGATGAAAAAAGAAGTTCAAAAGACTGTAGTATTTTCAGAAAAGCTGAAATCATCACATCTAGATTGACAACAGCTGATGTAATCTATCATAATTATATTATCCAGGTGAGCTACAAGCGTATCTCATTTCACACTTACCTTGTTGCGACTCACATCCTTGCACTCAGTGCCGTCAGCCCAGGGCATGTGTTGGGTACGACAACCTGACGAAGTCTTGTTGGTGCACCATAGCCTCTCACAGGTTTGCTGAAAAAAAAGAAAATATTTAGAGAAGAAATATTTATTTGACCAGATAAAAATTACTACAAAATGTTTAACACATAATATTTCCATCAACAGCCAGCATGCAAAGAAAGAAAATATTTAGAGAAGAAATTATTTATTTGTAAACTACCTAAAAAATACTACAAAATATGTTTAACACATATTTTTTCCATCAACAGCCAGTGAGATTTTCAAGTGACGTCAATTTATTCAAGAAATATTTCAATAACTAAAGCTCATTATCAAACTCGCAGAGTCATCAATTTTCCAAATAAGCCATATTTCTGTCTGAAAGACAGTGTGTAAATATTTAATCAGCTTTTGTAGGCATGACGACATTTTCTTTTAACATGCTATCAATTCCTCAGTGAAAAAACATGACTTTACCCATGATCCTTCACAGCTGTTTATCTCAGAGCAATGTGGGAAATGACCTTGAAACACGGCCACTTGCGTAAGTCAAATAATGAAATAATGTATTTTGATAGCTTAGGAATCGATAGTATCAGCATGAAGCCCTCTCTCATGACAGCTAACAAAGGAATAATTTGCTTTCTTACACTTCAAAACCTTGTAACATTTGCTTTAGTCAGCTGTTTTGAAAAGAAGATGTTTTTTCTACCCTAAAGACCTCATGTCATGTATGTCTGTCAGCCCTCAACTCTCACTGACAAATCCCCACTCTTTCATCTTTGCTGCTTCTCCATGCTGGTTACTGGTGGAGCAAGTGTCTTGCTGAAGGAGGCGAGGTGAAATTGGATTTAACGTCGTGCTTGAGAATATTTCGCTCATATGACGACGTGCATGCGTGTGTGTGTGTATGTGCAGCTGCTTGTACTAGCCCAGACTTAAGCTAGCCCACTGAGATACCATACCGCAGTGGAGCATGAATACCCCACTCAGACACATTATACTGACTCCGAGCCGACCAGTCCTTGTTGTACCCATTAATGCCGAGCGCCAGGCAGGGACCAACAAGTACCATATTATAATGTCTTTTGGTATGACGCGGTCGGGGATCGAACCCGCGACCTTCCACTCTCCGGGCAGACGCTCTAACCACTACACCACGGAGGCGGTCCCCATATGAAGGAAGACTATCATGAGTGAACTGACTTGTTCTCGATTTAACGAACTTGGTTTAACTTGCACTTGGTACACACTGATGTAAAAACCGTGCTACACTACACAAAAACTGGTTGCACATTGGTTCAATAAACTTATCAAGGTTGAAACCTCAATGATTAAACTAGTCTAAGCAGACAGAACCTCAGATGTTAAGATTTGACATATTGCTGTAAATTTACATAAATTAACTCATATTGCTGTAAATTTACATAAATTAACTCACATTGCTGTAAATTTACATAAATTGACTCACATTGCTGTAAAATTACATAAATTATAACATTTTGTGGTATAAATTATCCCCACCTCCCCCCCACACACACACAGACTACAGTAGAAACAATAAACATCTTGTCTTTAAACAGTCAGGATGTCCCCAGCCAAACAGTCTGACCAAACATCTTTTTGCCTACAAAAACATAATTTATATAAGTAACACAAAATTTGTAATTTTTATTTATACACCAAATGGCAAAGAAAACTGTAAATATGTAATGTAAGTCTCAGTGTTTTTTGTAAACGTTAAAATGCAAAGAATTCAAATAGGATCTTGCAGATATAATATGGTCATGGAAATTTCCAAGGTTTCAATATGTCTAGAAAGTACATTTTCTTATGTAAGGTGATGAAACTCATAAAATATCCACCTTATCAGTCAATAATCAATTTTCATAGACCTCGCTAACTCGTTTTGCTTGGGAGGGAAGTTATTCTGTAACTGAAAGATTCCTCACATATTTGAGGATCATGATGTATGTGTAAGTAATTCAATGGTTAAGCTTCCTATACCCTCCCTTCTAGCAGCAGTGTTGTAAAATGTCGTGGGTTCAAACTAATAAACACACAAACACAAACAATAAAATAATAATCTTTTGACACAATCAAAACACTGGCCCAAACATCAACACCTTAATCATAATTCACCATTGTGATGCAAAAAACAAAATATCTCTAATGTTAAATCTGTGAAAACATTTTTTGAATATAGTCTACAAGGATCTGTTATATCTACAACAAGTTTGTTTTTTTATCTACTATCCTCGTCGTTAACATAACTACTTCAGACAATCCTAATTCATGAACAAATATGACGATATTTTGTCACAGCGTGGGATAAGGTTGATTTCATCCCAACAAAATATTTTGACAGCTTGACTAGAAATTAGCATCCTTTGGTGAAATCTTCATTGGGTGATTGAAAGAAGTGACCCTGATTATCAGTATATTTTGACATATCTACAATCCTAGTAAATGTTTGATATTTTCAATCTCAGAAATTATCAAGCCCCGAAAAGCAATCTGTTTGGTTTTGTCATATCAGCGTGTGTGATACCCTTTACTGCGGGACTGCTATTGCTGCGAGCCTAACATCAATGGCCGCTGATATCTGGGCACTGAGTGATAGAATCTGGCCTATGATTCTGCCTGGTGGGTGGGAGTTCTTCACAAGCCTACAGAAGCAGTACACTACACTTTCTTGTCAAAGATGTTTGTTACAAGATAAATCAAAGATAACAATTACCCACTGGCATCTCCAGAACCAGAAGGCACCAGTGGTTTCTTGTACTGGTGTTCATTAGAGGGAGCTCCAGTGTAGCCAAACTGACCATGGTCTGGTCTCAGATGAATTAACTCAGGAATCAACGATTTATCTTCAGTGGCCTTTGGATAAATTGGCTCAACATTTCCTCAGTCAATATTTTATAACCTATTTATAACCATTATAACAAGTGATAACCTATTAAGATATCCTTGTACTGATTTTTTCTTTACTGAGGGTTGAAATGGTACAAAAATTATCCAGTTTTTTAACTTAGAGAACAAAATCCTTGATAACAGTAATCATTTTCAATACTGGATTCAAAATATTTACAGTAATAATAGATATGGTTTGAAAACAAATCAAGGGCAATAATTATGGCTGATGTATGGAAGTTTCTTCATGAGAGTCCAACCACAGAACCCAGCGAGCCACCTGATTCCACTTATATTACTTACTTACTTACATTTACTACAACATTACATTTATCAAACTTATTAGAGATAAAGCTTAATTTCTCATTCTCATTTTATCTGCCAATATGCCAACTTGCAGGTTAATAACCTGTTTATCAGGATCAATTTGAGTTGAATTAAAAGAACAATAACTCCCAAAGGAGGGGTGTCAACTTTTAGCAATATATTACATATATTGCTAATTGTTATACATTACACCAAATATTTGCAAAATATGTATATTGTCAATCACACATGATATATTTTGTACCTTTTGCATACATATTACTTATTTTAGGGCAAACTTTACAATAACATACAAAACTTAAAAATGGACTTTTCAGCCAGAAGAGTATATGAAGGATTATAACATTGAGATGCAAGTGACATGAAGAATGCATAAGAAACCATAAGTGAGTGAGTAAGTTTAGTTTTAAGCCGCACTCAGCAATAATTCAGCTATGTGGTGGCAGTCTGGAAATAATCAAGTCTGGACCAGACAATCCAGTGATCAACAACATGAGCATCGATCTGCACAATTGGGATACAATGACATGTGTCAACCAAGTCAGCGAGCCTGACCACCCAATCCTGTTAGTCACCTCTTACGACAAGCATGGGTTACTGAAGATCAATATTCTAACCGGGTTCTTCACAGGTCAAGAAACCATAAGAAAACTACACACTGATAGGACATACCATGTGAGGACAGAGGACATAGCCTGATCCAAACACCAGCTCACATTGTTTGTCAACCCCGTAGAGCTGGCCAGGAGATTGGAGCTGAGTAAGAGTCATTTCACGCCGAAATTTCTTGGTCTGTGGACGATCTAGGAGGCACTCCGCTAGACCTGCACTGCACAGGAGGGTGAGGGATGAACAGACATTCAGAAAGTTAGAATCACCAGTTGTGCATGAAATAACATGGCAAAATCATTCATCACTTTCAACAGGCATAACTTGTGGTGGAATGACATGATACTGTATCAATGGAAGACATTTGATCCGATACAAGAATTAGTACTACGGATATTAACATCCCGAAACCATTTTCATGGGATATGTAAAAGTTCAAAAATATATTAAAAATTTATAGCAACCTACAACGTATGCATGACATGTTTTATGGATAACAACTTTTTTTATTCTTTACACAACGTTTCAAAAACTTCAGCCAACTATATGTTCCTACTGTCAAAATAAAGTAGGGTCTTGTTGCCTGTAGCGATGTGTTTTTGGTATGTCAATCTAGGGGGGCCAATGGAAAAGTACTAGGGTTGTGAAAAAGTACCTCTTGATATTCATGCTTAATTTGAACCATGGGGAGCCTGTAAAAACCTACTTAATGTCCTGCTAGAACCTACTACATGTCCTTCAAGAGCCACTTAACGTGAGCTGCCAAAATGGCTAGATCCATTCAATGTCCTGCAAGAACATACTAACTGTCTTGCAAAAACCACTCAACACCCTGCAAGAACCTACTCTATATCCTTCCTCAATTTCCTTTCAGAAAACACTCAATGTCCTACTAGGACCTACACAATGTCCTGCAGGAACCTTCTCAATGTTCTGCTAGAAACACTAAATGTTCTGCGAGAGCCTACTCAATGTCCTGCAAGAACCTTCTCAATGTTCTGCTAGGACCTACACAATGTCCTGCAAGAACCGACTGAATGTTAAGCTAGAAACACTAAATGTTCTCCGAGAGCCTACACAATGTCCTGCAAGAACCTACTCAATGTTCAGCTAGAAACATTAAATGTTCTGCGAGAGCCTACACAATGTCCTGCAAGAACCGTCTGAATGCTCTGCTAGAAACACTAAATGTTCTGCGAGAGCCTACTCAATGTCCTGCAAGAACCTACTCAGTGTTCAGCTAGAAACACTAAATGTTCTGCGAGAGCCTACTCAGTGTCCTGCAAGAACCGTCTGAATGTTAAGCTAGAAACACTAAATGTTCTGCGAGAGCCTACTCAATGTCCTGCAAGAACCTACTCAATGTTCTGCTAGAAACACTAAATGTTCTGCAAGAGCCTACTCAATGTCCTGCAAGAACTGTCTGAATGTTCTGCTAGGACCTACACAATGTCCTGCAAGAACCGACTGAATGTTAAGCTAGAAACACTAAATGTTCTGCAAGAGCCTACTCAATGTCCTGCAAGAACCTACTCAATGTTCAGCTAGAAACACTAAATGTTCTGCAAGAGCCTACTCAATGTCCTGCAAGAACCATCTGAATGTTCTGCTAGAAACACTAAATGTTCTGCGAGAGCCTACTCAATGTCCTGCAAGAACCTTCTCAATGTTGTGCAAGAACCTACTCAGTGTTCTGCGAGAACCTACTCAATGTTCTGCGAGAACCAACTCAATGCCCTGCAAGAACCTACTCAATGTTCAGCCAGAACCTACTCAATGTCCAGCCAGAACGTACTCAATGTCCTGCAAGAACCTACTCAATGTCCTGCCAGAACCTACTCAATGTCCAGCCAGAACCTACTCAATGTCCTGCCAGAACCTACTCAATGTCCAGCAGAACCTACTCAATGTTCAGCCAGAACCTACTCAGTGTCCAGCCAGAACCTACTCAGTGTCCAGCCAGAACCTACTCAATGTCCTGCGAGAACCTACTCATGTCCTGCGAGAACCTACTCATGTCCTGCGAGAACCTACTCAATGTCCTGTGAGAACCTACTCAATGTTCAGCCAGAACCTACTCAATGTCCAGCCAGAACGTACTCAATGTCCTGCAAGAACCTACTCAATGTCCTGCCAGAACCTACTCAATGTCCAGCCAGAACCTACTCAATGTCCTGCCAGAACCTACTCAATGTCCAGCCGAACCTACTCAATGTTCAGCCAGAACCTACTCAGTGTCCAGCCAGAACCTACTCAGTGTCCAGCCAGAACCTACTCAACTCATGTCCTCATGTCCCATGAGAACCTACTCATGTCCCTGCGAGAACCTACTCAATGTCCTGTGAGAACCTACTCAATGTCCTGCGAGAACCTACTCAATGTCCAGCCAGAACCTACTCAATGTCCTGCGAGAACCTACTCAATGTCCTGCGAGAACCTACTCAATGTATTCCGTCATGAGTCTGGCGCTGCAGGGAGACCAGTCCCAGGGGCTGGAGTTGTAGTCTAGGGTGGGTGCCATCACATGGTACTTCTTCTTGGACTTGATGGACTGTGGGTACCTCAGGCACTGCTTGTCATCATCATGGGGAAGGTTGAACCTGGAGGAAATAACAACACATTCATCGTCTGATGGTATGTCCACTGCCTCACTGTCAATCTGCTGGACTCATTAACCACTACCTTTTAACATTTTAACATTAGGGGCATGAAGCAGAGCTCTTGATACTAATGCTTAATTTGCAACATAATGAACCTGCCAAAAGCCTCTCAGTGCCCTGCTAGAACCTACTATGTGTCCTTCAACAGCCACTAAACACATTCATCATCTGATGATCTGTCTTCTGTCTCACTGTCAATTTGGCTTCCATAAGATATGACATCATGTCTACTGTCAACTCTGAATCTTGTTGCAAAAGATAAAGGTAAGGCTAATGTTTAGCAGACAGCTTGCCAATGCAATGGTGATTTAGGGCCACTTTCCTACTCAGGGATGTATTAGTAATATCGAATACAGTCACTTGACACACAAGCACCAACTGTATTTTGCTCAAGGTGATCCTGCATTGTCGATGTTAAACTGATTATTGACTAGTTGAGCCAGACAAGTTTATAAACACCCTTTTATCTAAATTTGACAAAGTGCCAGAATTACTAACACTGTATATGAAAAAGCATAAGTAATTGTACTCAAGCTTATCAGGATTTTGAAATTCAAACTTGTTTCAGCTTTACATTAGCAGTTTTTGAGCCTTAAACCCTAGTGGGAATGGCATCAAATATGAAATATAGTGCCACCTTTTTAGATTTGAATGTGAAAACAGAAGAATATATTTCAAATGAAAAATGAGCTAAGGCTAAACTCATAATTAATATTCCTTTTCATAGATTATTCATGCAGTTATTGTTACATGAAAAAGTCTTGACACAGTTAATTGTAATACATCAGCAAGCCTCAGTTTCATTTGAAATCAGACAGCTAGATATGCCCATATGCATATGTTGACATGAATCAAGCAAAGTGTCTACATAAAACTTTCAAAATTTGAAAATTTGACTCCACTTTCAAAGTCCGATGGCATTCGTATAAAGAAAATAAATTCATGAATGGTTCTCAAGTTACATGTTTTTATAAATACTGCGATATGGCTCATAAACTATGTCATTTTCATTGGTGGCTGTGAGCTCCAGCTGAAGGAATAAAATATGTTGTCTGACAACTAGCTAAAGGTTAACATGTAAAGATAATCATGTCTAGATGTTTATGTAAGAACTTATCTTTCTTTGAGACATATATTCATAGCAATATGCTATGGTTCCAAAGTAAAGTTTGTAAACTGGGTGTCATTCTCTTGATATTTTCCCACCACGTTTTTACAGAAATGTTATCCTCTGTTATGAGAGATGTTGTTAGTCTAGCAGCATTTATCAACATTCTCCAATCATTAATCTGTAGAGTTCCTGTAAGTTGTCATTAGGTAAACAGTCTGTGGTAGATCGTCTTTTTATACTTTGAATTATCTCCTATATTCCAACACATGAACTGTTCACGTTTCCCCCAAACATGTCCTCAGCATGCATAAGAATTTGAACAAAAGCCATTAAGCCTATATTAGCATGTCCCTTTCTCATTTAATTTAAAAAATAACTTAATATGCAAACAAGTGATCATAAATCAAATAAATGGATATTCGAGTTTTGACGCAACAAAGTAAGTGGTGTAAAATATATTCAGTTCAGTTACAGCTTCTTCAAGCTCATGAAATGAATGTTAATAGCAACGGGAGCAGAATATATATGTCCAAATCAACAGGCCATGCATGTACAAGCTTTGAATCTCTAACAAACAAGCATAATATATTTTGAAAATGCTCATAGGAAACAGATTTAACAGACCACCTCACAGCTTTAAGGGTATGCAACACCATATCATATTCAAAGCTAACTTCAGTCTATGTTTGTTGAAAGAATTTAAGATTTGGTTTATCACATAATAAAATAATAAAAATGCGGGATAAACAAGTTAGAAATATCTGTCATACTGCTCAGAAAAATATTCCATAAGGTCAACTAGCAGGAACTACTTTTAAGAAACTTTATACATTAATGTAAGGTGTATGTGCTTGAAATACCATTGTCTATTGTTAAAATGTTAAGTGAGTGAGCAAATTTAGTTTCACGCCGTTTTTAGCAATATTCCAGAAATATCACCGCAGGGAACACCAGAAATGGGCTTCACACATTGTACCCATGTGGGGAATCGAACCTAGGTCTTCGGCGTGACGAGCAAACACTTTAACCACTAGGCTACCCCATCGCCCCTAAAATGTTAAGGCAAAGGTGTTCACATATGTCTCTGTTTATGGAAACAGACAAACAGCTGAAAATCCTTTGGCACTGTATCATATTCGAGGCAGCTCAATCATGAGCTGGATTCCTACTCAGTTTCTAAAGCTTCCCATCTATATAACTTACTTAACTGAATAAAAGATATGGTCTAAACTGTGATTATCTAAAGAATAACATAATACGATAAACAGATTGGCCGAATTTGTTTCTGTTACATATGAGGATATAAAAACCCAGCATTATATGCAACATAGATTGGTAATATACAACATTATTCTTAATACTATTTATGAAATTCAATTACCCTCAGGTAATAGTCAGTCGAAGTAAACTTAGGCTCAGTATTATTCGTTACACTGTCGAACAAACCCTAGTAGAAGGTCACCTCAGCTAACCTTTTGGACTGACCTATCAGAACACAGCTTACCAAATCGCGAAAGTTAACATTCGCACATACCATTTGAACCTTTACCTAAAAAATTCGAATGATTCCGAATGCTATTTTCCTCACAATCGCTTCCGAGTGATACACATGGAGTACAAGTATGACGCAATGAGTAAACAGTCGCTGAACAAAACGTTTTTGTCAATATTCGAGAATGTCCTCTTGTGAAAATATAAGCTAATAGTAACCATGTCATTAGAAACCCCTAAGCGTATATGCTGCAGGTCAAATATCTGTGTTTAATGCGGATTTTTGTTTCTTGAGAGATCAGTGTCAGCGACCAGGTAAGAGAAAATCCAAAAACCGTTTTGTAAGTCCTGCCGAACCCTAACAAGTAGTTGTTGTCTGATTGGTTAAATTTGTTCGACGGTCTCGCGTTTCTTTGGACTGTCATAGGTTGCTCAAAGGTTAGCTGACACGACATCTAACATATACAATGATCACTAAATATGTGTCTTGTATGAAGTATTATCTGTTTAATTGTAAGTATTGTGACGATAAAATACTATCACCTTTTCTTGTCCATATTATGCTAACGAGCAAATGAGTTTAGTTTTATGCCACTTTTACCAATATTCCAGCAATATCATGAGGGGGACACCAGAAATGGGCTTCACACATTGTACCCATGTGGGGAATCGAACCCAGGTCTTTGGTGTGAAGTGCGAATCACTTCAACCACTAGGCTACCCCACCCCTCCCCACAATAATGAATTTATTCTCTTCTCATGAAGATGAACATAAAGCACAATAAGACTTAAGACTTACACATGTCCAAGTTCATGTGCGATGGTGTAGGCTGCGCTGATGCCGTTGTCTTCTATGATTGCACAGCTCCTGACTGGATCACAGATAGTGCCCAGCTCAGCTAGACCTACAAGGAAATTCAGATGCAATACATTCTAAGAGTGGGTGAGTAAATTAGGTTTGATGCCAACAACAGATTTCAGTTAAATCACTGCTTTTAAAGGGTACAAATATATATATGTCATGAAAAGTGGTATGAATAATTATTGTAGAATATACTTATGTCTTACTCTACCTTCAGCAAAATCATGAGGGGGACACACATTGTTCTCATGTAGGGGATAAAGCCCAGGTCTTTGGTGTGACAAGTGAATTCTTTAACCACTACGCTAACCCACCACCTCCTATCATATGAGTGATGGGGGTGGTGACATCTTCCGAAACAAAACTTTGGTGGTGAATATGTCATGGGTTTTGGTCATACTTGAAATGGAGACAAGATTTATAGTCTGTTTGCAGTGAAAACATACCGATGAATTTCACTTTAAACAAAAAAGTAAATCACATAAAGTGAAATTAAGATTGCGAATCCTCATGATTTTACCTTAAAATTCCGAGATTTTAATGTTCAATTGACAAGGTAAAATCATGAGGATTTGCAATCTTAATTTCACTTTATGTGATTTATTTATTTGTTTAAAGTTAAATTCATCGGTACGTTTTCACTGCAAACAGACTATAGTAAAAGATCAAGGATGTTTTACATGAGACAAAGCAACTATATCAGCTGCAACACAGGTACTTACCTAGCGTATCACATTTTCCTAAAGCTCGACAGATATCTTTTCTGGAAAAAGCAAAGAAAATGCACCTTGAATTTCACAGAAGAATATCTCATTATTTTTAACAGCCGATGATGAAACTGCAAAATATCACCGGTATGTAATGTGATAAGGGTGTGATACAGTACTATTTCTGAAGTTCACATAATCCCCCTTTTTGCAGCTAAATCACAACACTGAACAATTTGGTTTCAAATTTCAGATGGCGAAGATGGGATATTGCAGGGAAAACATGTAAGCATGGGGACACTGTGCAGGTTCTGCATTTTATAGCCAACAAGAAAATACTAGAGAAATTGCACAAATATTTTTCCGATGTTTTTACATCAATATAACTTGTACTATAATTAATTGTTGTATACATTAAGATACAGAAGTTGTTAATCAATGTATTGCATTGTGAGCCTCATATCACAATACAGAAATATATTGTCATATTCTGACACCACTAATGATGACATTTATGTTAAAGCTGGGTAAAGAAAGATTCATAGTTGAAACTATTCGTTATGTCAATCCAATGTATTCAATCCATGTTCCATTTATTGATTGGTTGGTTGGTTGGTTGGTTGGTTGGTTGGTTGGTTGATTGATTGATTGATTGGTTGGTTGGAGACTAAGTATATGCCGCTTTCAGCATATATTCAAGCAATATCATGGCATGGGACACCAGAAATGGGCTTCACATATTGTACCCATGTTGGGAATTGAACCTGGATCTTCGACATGATAAGCTAATGCTTTAACCAGTAGGCTACCCCACTTAACAATGCCAGCAAGCGTCCACCTGAGGCCTTACCTTGTTAACAAGATGGCGGTGTCATGGTGGTTTGGATGGTCAACATCCTGTTCATTGGCATCCTTCTGCCATTTACAGAAGTCCTTCAGCGTCATGGCTGCATTTTCTGTGATTTTTAACTTGAGCTGAAGAAGAAGATTTATCAATTAAATCCTAATAAAAATATTCATCGAAAATATTTTTACTACTCCCATCATAAATCATTTTAAGTTCGCATAAAACTGGGGTGGGCTTACAAATAATATATTCCATATCAAGCTTTATTATACTTTGATATGCATGACGAACTGCTACACAAATGCTATAATTATGTTCATCAGTGTCAATATGTCTCCCGTGGCAAAACTGTACTGAATTGAATTTCATACTATGTAATTGAAATTGAAATCCTTATATCAAATTATTAAGCTACTATACTTAAATGAAATGACTTTCCTATTCTCAATTACATATGCTAGGGAATAAATGTGTGTTGATCAGATGTCATATCATCTAGGTCCTTAAGACGTAGGTACTTTCTCCAGCTGTGCGGGAGGCGACATTCTGTACATTACACAGCCAGCCTATGCAATTGAGAATTTATTTGCTATTGCAGCATGCACACTAAGCATTGCAGAGACCCGTGAAGATCCGGGGTAGACTAGGTGTTCAGCAACCCATGTGCTTGCCATAAAAGGCGACTATGCTTGTCGTAAGAGGCGACTAACGGGATCGGGTGGTCAGTTTCGCTGACTTGGTTGACACATGTCATCGGTTCCCAATTGCGCAGATCGATGCTCATGCTGTTGATCACTGGATTGTCTGGTCCAGACTCGATTATTTACAGACCGCCGCCCTATAGCTGGGATATTGCTGAGTGTGGCGTAAAACTAAACTCACTCACTCACTCATTGCAGAGGATTCACTTCTTATACACAGGGTCGGGTCACTGCCTTAAGTCTCACATGTAGATTTAATTTACCTGTGAAGATACGGGTTAGAATTGGTCTTCAGTAACCCATGCTTGTCGCAAGAGGTGACTAACAGGATCAGGTGGTCAGGCTCACTGACTTGGTTGACACATGTCATCGTATCCCAATTGCATAGATCAAAGCTCATGCTGTTGATCACTGGATTGTCTGGTCCAGACTTGATTATTTACAGACTGCCTTCATATAGCTGGAATATTACTGAGTGCGGCATAAATTAAACTTACTCACATTCATTTGCTTGGAAAGGAGACTTCTAATTTTTCCCCCTAACAATCGTTTCAGGATACACAGCAAAACAATTATATTCATATGTTATAAATACTGAAGCAAATTTTCATTTTTTTTCTGGAATAAGAAGGCATCAATATAAAAACAATGTATTAACACAATTTTTCATGACTTCTAAAAAATTCTGATTTTGTAAACACTGAGGGAAAAAAATCCATCAAAAGTTTAAAATTCCAGTGTTCTGCATCCCCATGTGAACAGAAAATGTCAATCCCCAAATCATAAAAGTTACAAGTGCTAATATATTTTCTTTAAGTTTCTTTTCCGAAAGTTTACGCCAAGACATCACTCACGTTGAAACCATAAACCTCTGCCTGTTTATCATATTCACACAAAAATTGACAAAAAGGGGACTGAAGCACAGGTGTATCATACAAAAGAAAATATGGCTCATAACCCACACCTGCACAACATATGAAAATCATAAACAAGAAACAAGTTTTACACTCAGAACTTTTTATCCACCTTTTCATTTTTTAAAAGAAAAGAAACAAAATTCTTCCAACCATATTGTTCAAATTTGTAAACTCCTTTGAAATTGTAACCAATAGCATTAAGATATGTGATATGTGATAAGCAGTTCTGTTTGATAAATGTGTGACCTACTGTCACCAGGTGGTGCTGCTTCTCGTCTAGTCCCATACAACTGACATTTACAGATATTTCATTATAACCTTTTCACATAATATCAGACCCAAACCAAAGGAATCCATCTTGTGGGTGTCCTTTATTATTTGTGTATCTTTTATGATAATATTTTTCAACAAGATGTTTCTCCCGCCATAAACTATTTTTTATTCCGTCTCTTATGCTTTGTTCTTTCTAACAAAGGATGGTTGACCTTCATTGGCTGATTGTGAGAATTTGCTAAACTTTATTTCAAAGGCAATCATTCATGACCTAATAATGATTTGCATATTTTTAGATGCTGATAACAGAGCCTCTCTTTGATGCCAGATCAAGGGGAGATAATTACAGGATGATCTGTGGTTGCGGACAAGCTTATATGCCTTTCCTACATCAAATTTACAAATTATCCCTTAAATATTCGAGGGTGAAAGGTCTCTCTGGTTCAGCTATTTGTAGTAAAACATAGTCATGTGATAGTCTTAAAGAGTGGCAATCACACTGGCCCATTTCCAACCTAGATCCATATCATGGTGCAATTTACTGAGCATTTTGTTTTGCACAGCAGTTTCAAATGTCTGATAAAGACTGATCATTTGGTAATCAGAAATGAAATGAGTGAGGACCGGGACAATTCTGGGAGTTCTTTTAAGAAACAGAATATGTTTATGACAAAAAATACTATTACTTTTTCATCAATGCATCAAAACAGAATTATTTTCTTGGACCAATTTTTTTTAAATTTCACACCAAACTTTTTAAGGACACCCAGCATGTCCAAAATACAGGACATTTTCATCCTAAAAAGATTGTCACAAAATGTTTATTTCAGCATGCACACTAAGCATTGCAAAGTATTTATCTAGAATGCACCCCAGTCCTCCACCAATACCAAAATATTGGTGGCTTAACATCTCTCAGCTCATTAGTTGTAACTGCATTAATAATAATACTGATTTGTGTCCTTATATTGCACTTGGCACCATACTTGATAATACTGGTAATACTGGGTGTATGAACTCATGTAACAGTACAAATGACAATGGCAGTAGCAACCTGATTATCCCATTCCCACAAACATAAAATGGTTGACTGCCGATGAATATCTAGTCTCTGAAATTTACATATTTTACGGGAAAAAAACAACCCATTTCTCAATCATCTTAATATAATATAATGAAAAGGAGCACAGAGATTTCTTCATTTTTAGACAAACATCTTGTCTCTGAAAATAACACAATTTGCAGACAAACAAACCCTAAATAATCTTCATAAAATATGATAAAAAGGAGAGTTGAGATATTCTTCATCTTTAGACAAACATCTTGTCTATGAAAGTAACATAATTTACAGAAAATATTTTCCTATCTTCATAAGGCCAGACCAATATTATTTCTTGTTTTACGGATTTTTGTCCTCAGAAAACCTAAAGGCAGGAGGGAAAATATCAAAATAAAAGTCACTAGTCAAAGTAATATTCCTTCTAAATACTAAATGTATTTTACTTTTGGCAATTTATGAAGTGTATATGAGGCAAATAACAATCTAAAAACATTTTCTTGCACATTTACATTTTTGGCCAATAAAAATATTAAAGTTTTATAGTTTGAGTGGGGAAAATTAATTTTAATTTTTTTTCTTATTCTTGAAAAAATACGACCGGCGGACCCGTAAACAAGAAATAAAATTGGTCTGGCCTAAAGTATACTAAAAACATATCCAGAGCCTTTAGAATAACATCTAGTCTCTGAAATGAACATAATGTATACACTTCCTTGGGCAGTATTGGGTATATTTGTTTCAGGGTTTGTATGACAGACCAGGCTGGCATCTTTATAAGATGGCTAACAAGCATGGGTACAAGTGATCCAGGTGAGCATGAGGTGCCGTAAAATCGAGCTCCACCTGTGACCGTATAAGGTGTAAAACCTTAGAGTCAACTTTGTGCCGTGCAGACTCTGTTCGTGGTTGTCACAACCCCTAGTGTACAGTACACAACCCTGTGCACTTAAAAGAACCCACGAATCCGTTGGTATATGACCAGATGGTGGCCACATGAATACGTGCAAACACCTAGTTGCGGGTACAGCAACGTGCAGTAAACTTGGACAAAATACTGTGACTATGTGTCCCAGTCCACCCAGCTGTGAATGGGTACCTGGTACGCATGTGAAAGCCGCAATAACTCGGTGCGCCTAGTGGCTGCAAGAGTTGTGTGCTCCCCAGGGAGTTGAGATTGATAATAACATGTGCAGTTGAGATTGACATCCAATGATCGAGGGAAAAACTACCAGCGCCTTGAGCATGCACTAGTGCGTGGATATGTGTGCTATATAAATATACAATAATAAATAAAATAATAATAATAATAAGAGGTATACAATACAAACAAGATGGAATACTCACATCAGCAGGTCCAGGTTCTAGTATCTTCACTACCACTATATTGATAAAGTTGCCTATAGACGGATGCTTGTATATATTAGTTACCTGAAACAGAGACAGATCACGGTAAGTTGAATAAACACTGATAGCATCTTTAGAAAGCTGGGGTCCCAAAACTGTTCCATCTCAGAAACATCACTATGCATGACAAGTAGCTGATGCCTTGATGCCATGAAAGCTGTGTAATAACAACACTCATTCACTCACTCACTCACCATCAGGGTAGAATGATAACAAGCTAGGTTACAGACTTGAGTTGTCTCCCCTTAGGTCACCATCTGACCTATATACTCTAATACTCAGCATATTTGTCTGTTTTAACAACATATAAGCTGCACAAAGTCACTGGTATTAATCCTAAAAAAAAATATGAATAACCTGAAACTTTAATCTAGATGATCACATGTTCCAACGTGTTTTGATTTTGGAGAAGAATCACACATTCAGCACATTTCTCATATCAAATACTGCTTTCTCAGGAAGACGAGACTAATGTTAGGTGGTTGAACCTCCAACCTTGACGAAATCGACTCAGGAATTGAAATACATGACCATACAGGAAGCCGATGTAAGAAATTATATAAACACAGGCGAAAATTACACCACTTTACAAGACCTAGCTCAGGATGAATACAACACCATGTTGAGAATAACCTTTTGTTTCCAAGTCAGACTGCAATCTTGTCGACTTCTCGTCAACACAAGTGTGAGTAGGAACCCACATGGTATCTGCTTTCTTGCTTGACCCAGACAAAGTAAAAACAAAGTCTGACCCTGCCTGACGTAATCCCCCCATTTGGGAGGATTGGAATTCAGTTATTGTCTGGGAATTTTTAAACTTTATGAACTTGTGATTTGATAACGACATTGTGCTGATTCAGAGCAGGTGTCGGCTAATGATGCTCTCAGCTGAGTTCGCTGTATTAGCTGATTCAGTTTTTTCCAATTTTTCCAGTTTCCAATCTCTCACATGTCTTGAATTTTCATTCTGATAGGAATTATAAAATGTTTTCGCATCAATAATTTGACCTGACACCTCGAAAAATTATTCCATGATGTGATTAATAAAATATTACAACCACTGCATACTCATAAACAACTAGGGTCACCTTGACCTTACTCCAGCTACGTTTCTTAAAAAAATTGTTTCCGAAGTAAAGCGATTCAATCTACATAATAATTTAAATAAATGACAGGTACCAAGTTTTTAAAACTTCATCACTGGATTGTCTGGTCCAGAATCAATCATTTACACTGCCAGGTGGCTGGAATATTGGTGAGTGCTACATTAAACAACAAACAAACAAACTTCGGGAAGACTTTGTTAGAGATTTGCAGTGGCTTAAAACTCCATACAGTCTGATCAATATTTATTTGAACGATATTAGCTGCTTTAGTGACATATGTATTTCGAAAAATGCATCTTTTTCAAGAATTCACCAAAGATGGATATGTTAAACAACAAACAAAAGAAACATTAACTAAGTACACAATTAGTGAAAAACAGTTATTTTTCATTTTTTTAAATTATATTTAACTCCACTCCCTTACTGGTTGAATTGTTTTGAGTAACTGCCAGTAATTTACCAAGCAAGTAATATTTGTGGTAAAAATGAACCCCACTGGTCTTAAATTATGAGTGTATATATGTATTATAAGTACTCTCTATCCAGTAAATTGGTCAAATTAAAACTGAATGGATACACTGGACCTACTGTTCTCAAAATTCCACACACAATATTCATCTCTTCTGCATGCATTGAAATTTAAAATGATTTTAAAACAATAAATTATTTTCTATCTGACATCAATTTAAGGTAACTATGTTCATAATGAACACGCCTATAACAGACTGATAGATATAAAGGCCTGTTTTTTTAAAGTCTTTGAACGGCTTTTAGAAGTGATACACAAAATGGCAAGAATTTATGGATGTCAACTTCTTTATTTTGAAGAACATAAAGTTTTCACATCCATAAATCTTTAAATCTTTGCCTTTAACTGTCTTTTGGTCCTAGCCGATTGCTGTATATGTAAGTCAAAATGCATGTAACAAATTACAGTTATAATCGGCATTTGAAATTAACATCGGTCCTTAGGCCCGAAGTCGACTGAAAACCACTCAGACCCACAGCTTTTGTTTTCTGCAGGTCCTTATGGCCAACAGCTTTTTCATCCCCAATAACTCGGAGTATTATTTCCATATTAAAATATAGGGCCTACACATTCTGATCAACGTTTAATGGTTCTGGGTCCTTTGGGCTTGGAACTTCTCAGGGTTAAGGGCAAACAATGGTTATAATAATAAACTAAAAATTAGTTGTCCCTTTGAGTTATACCCAGTTTGAGCATAACTGAATTATCACACTTTTAAATAAAAAAATAGTTTCCTATCATCTTTCGTTCCTGTCCAATGTCGTGTCCTCCAAATCTGCGTGTTCTGTATACAGAACCAATATTCAGCTGGTACTGTTCCCCAGCATCTGGATGACCTCTCTAACCAAACTACTTCACTTCTGGAAGTAACAAATATGGATGCAACATTTCCCAACTGAAGGTCACGAGGTGTAGAGATGGAGAGATGCGGATGCTGGCTATCTGTAAGGTCATCGGTGGGCAAGGTACAGGATTCCTGTGGGCTGGTCACTGCTTGTGTAAACGTAGGCACCAGTGTTTATATCTGTAGCAGTTCTATTTCCTTCTTGTTATGCCTAACTCTCCAACAATGACTAGCAGACTCGCTGTGCCGATCATCTTCATCACTGAGTGAGATCTTGGTACTCTCAGTACTTCTATCAGGTGGCGCTCAGCAACACCCACTGTCGGTACTTCCACCAGGTTGTGCTCGACAGTTTTTAGTTACTGTACTTGCACCAGGTGCGCTACAACAGTTCCCAGTACATACAGAGCTCTCTACGGGTGGCACTACAACAGCTCCCAGTACATACAGAGCTCTCTACGGGTGGCACTACAACAGTTCCCAGTACATACAGAGCTCTCACTGGGTGGCACTACAACAGCTCCCAGTACATACAGAGCTCTCTACAGGTGGCACTACAACAGCTCCCAGTACATACAGAGCTCTCACCGGGTGGCACTACAACAGCTCCCAGTACATACAGAGCTCTCACTGGGTGGCACTACAACAGCTCCCAGTACATACAGAGTACTCTGGCAACAGGTGGCACTACAACAGCTCCCAGTAGGTATACAGTACTCCCTCCCCAGGTGGGCACTACAACAGCTCCCAGTACATACAGAGCTCTCACTGGGTGGCACTACAACAGCTCCCAGTACATACAGAGCTCTCACCGGGTGGCACTACAACAGCTCCCAGTACATACAGAGCTTTCACTGGGTGGCACTACAACAGCTCCCAGTACATACAGTTCTCTCACCAGATGGCGCTACAACAGCTCCCAGTACATACAGTACTCTCACCAAGTGGCACTACAACAGCTCCCAGTACATACAGTACTCTCACCGGGTGGCGCTACAACAGCTCCTAGTACATACAGTACTCTCACCAGGTGACGTTACGACAGCTTCTGGTTTCTGTTCTCCCACCCTGGTGGTGCTACATGAGCTCCTAGTACATATGGGAGCATCCTCAAGCATCTTCTACATCATTCCTTAGTACACAAGAGACTCTCTACCATATAGTTTAGGGATTCAAACGTACACAGATTCTACAAGCTGAACAGTGGTGAAGCACAGTGGTTAAAGTGTTGGTGACATCCTGCAGATCTTGGTTTGAACCCCAACTACTCACACTTTCTACTATTGAACTGCGACAAACCATAATATTCAGAATCCTTTGTCTGGTCAATCTCTTCCTTAACACAAACAGCTTGAAATAGAGAAGATAGAGTTAATATCACCTTACATGAAATTAATTCTAGCATTTACACTGGCCCATTTCAGAACATTTCCCATTTAGACACAGAACATAACAACTACAGTGACCTACTTTAGAAATAGATCATCAATATTTGGACAAAACCAGGCCTGCCATCACTATATATTTAGTTTCTTCAAGAACTCTTTTGACAAAACATGCTGATTTGGCACCAACCAAAGCCGCAATTTCACAGATTGTGCAAATGCCAGATATTAATGGTGCATGATTGAGAAAAAGAGGCCAGCTCATTCAAACCACATCAAAATATTTCTCTTGGCTCTGACTACACAAACTAAACACGGCCTGGGTTTACAAAGACCACGTTGATGGGGGAAAGCATTACAGTGCCAGAACCAATAGGGGCTAAATTCAATTGGACTACATTGATCGAGATGATGAAAGTGTACATTTACCTTGACCAGATTCCTGGTTCTGACCTTCGAGGAATTGTTCAGGTCAGATTTCAGGTCGTATTTACAGGCTCTGTTAACACCCTATAAACATCAGCAGGTGCAAATTACTGGAGGTCAGTCTTCTTAAGATCATACTTCTGTCAGATCAAGTGTCTTCAACACCTTGAGAAGGTAACTTAACTAGGGTATGTTGTGTTTCGTTTTCACCGGTAACCCATTTCAGAAATCATGTTCACACCTGTCTACAACTTTACACACACAGTTTGTGGAAGATTAATGCTGGCATAAATCACCATGTTTGTATATAAGTTCATACCAAAGTTTTGTTTTGGTTTAAGCAAAATTATACTGCTTCTTTTACATTTGTGTTTTCCCCTTTGTGATTCCAAACATTTGGTTGACTCTTTTCAAGATATACCCTTGAACATCTGGGTTGTTTTCAGCACTCATGTTTGTCATGAAAGGCGTCCTGTGAAGATCCTGGATAGAATTGGTCTTCGGCAACCCATGTTTTTCATGACAGGCGTCCTGTGATGATTCGGGTTAGAATTGGTCTTCAGCAATCCATTTTTGTTATGAAAGATCGTCCTGTGAAGAGCCGGGTTAGAATTGGTCTTCAGCAACCCATGCTTGTCGTAAGAGGCAACTAACGGCATCGGGTGGTCAGACTTGCTGACTTGGTTGACGCGTGTCATCATATCCCAAATGAGTAGATTGATGCTCATTATGTT